GGGGGTCCTGATGGGGTTTGGGCCCCCCCCGGGGCTGAGCAGCTGGGTTTGGGGTTTTGGGGGGCAGAGGGGGGGTAGATGCCAGCAGCGTGTGGGATGTGACCCCTCGGTTCTGGGGACCCCTCCCCTCATCTTGGGGACTCCCCTGACTCACTCTGGGGTTTCTGTGCCCCCCTCCGGTGTGATTTTGGGGTGCTGTCAGACCCCACTTGGGCTATGGGGGGGGGTCCCCAAATTTGGGGTTCCTTCCCTGAACTCAGGGACCCCCCCTGAACCCTCCCTGAGCCTTTTGGGGTCTCCTGGGAGACGCCAGATCCCGTCACCCCCACCGTTCCCCCTGGGCTCGGGCAGCGTTTACGGCGGGGATCCCCAAGTTCGGGGCGGATTTGGGGGGGCCCCCCCCGGTTGACACCGTGGTTTTGGGGCCCCCCCCAGGCAAGGCGCCCGCCCCGGACCCCAACGCGGCCTGGGCCGCCTACTACTCGCACTACTACCAGCAGCCCCCCGGGCCCGTGCCGGCGCAGCCCCCGCCCGCCGCGCCCCCCGTGCAGGGGGAGCCCCCCCAGCCCCCCCCCACCGGCCAGGCCGACTACACCAAGGCCTGGGAGGAGTACTACAAGAAGCTAGGTGGGCACCCCAAATCCGGGCAGGGGGTCCGGGAGGGTCTGAGCCCCTCTGGGACCCCCCAGGATCCGTCCTGGGCTCGCCGTGGGGTGGGGTGGGGTGGGTTAGGGGTCCCGGCCCCCCCCAAAAACCTTCCAGGACCTGCAGAGCTCCCCTTGAGGAGCCTCCAAACGCGCCCAGGGGGTGAACTGGTCACAGAGACCCCTGAGCGACCCCCAGGGACCCCCAAAACTGCTCCTGGGGACCCCAAACCTGCTCCTCTGAACCCCCAAACTGCTCCTGGGGACCCCAAACCTGCTCCTCTGACCCCCTGGGGACCCCAAACCTGCTCCTCTGACCCCCAAACTGCTCCTGGGGACCCCAAACCTGCTCCTCTGAACCCCCTGGGGACCCCAAACCTGCACCTCTGAACCCCCAAACTGCTCCTGGGGACCCCAAACCTCCTCTGAACACCCTGGGGACCCCAAACCTGCTCCTCTGACCCCCAAACTGCTCCTGGGGACCCCAAACCTGCTCCTCTGACCCCCAAACTGCCCCTGGGGACCCCAAACCTGCTCCTCTGACCCCCACACACCCCTGGGGACCCCAAACCTGCACCTCTGACCCCCACACACCCCTGGGGACCCCAGAGCTGCCCCTGTGTCCCCCCTAACCCTGCCCAGGATCCCCTAAAGCCCCCCCTGCCCGCGGTGCCCCCCCAGGCCAGCAGCCGCAGCAGCCGGGGGCCCCCCCGCAGCAGGATTACACCAAGGCCTGGGAGGAATATTACAAGAAACAAGGTAAATCCCCCCAAAAATCCCACCGGGGGGGGGCTCTGGGGACCCCCCCAGCCCTGACAGCCCCCCCCCCGTGTCCCCACAGCGGCCCAGGTGGCCTCGGGGGGGGGTCCCGGGGCCCCCCCCGGCCCCCAGCCCGACTACAGCGCGGCCTGGGCCGAGTACTACCGGCAGCAAGCGGCGTACTACGGGCAGACCCCCGGGGGGGCCGGGCCCGCGCCCCCCCCCGCGCAGCAGGGACAGCAGGTATGGACCCCCAGACCCACCCTGGGACCCCCAGACTGCCCTGGGACCCCCAGACTGCCCCCTGGGACCCCCAGACCCACCCTGGGACCCCCCAGACCCACCCTGGGACCCCCAGACTGCCCTGGGACCCCCAGACCCACCCTGGGACCCCCCAGACTGCCCTGGGACCCCCAGACTGCCCCCTGGGACCCCCCAGACCCACCCTGGGACCCCCCAGACTGCCCTGGGACCCCCAGACTGCCC